GTTCATCCAGCCCTGCACCTTGTTGTCTCGGATTCTCCAGCATCTGCAGTTCCTACTATCTCAAACTCCAAGGGAATTGCCTGGGAAATTGAAGATTCCAAAGGACAATTCCCTACACGTAGAACCTGCTGACAGCACCATTTCAATTGAAGAATTCGGAGGATTAGGTAAATAACTACTTAGGAAAAGTTAGACTATTAAAAATCTAGTCTAACACATGAATAGCTAATAAACTGACCCCCAAATTACCACACACCTGTCCAAATACACTTCCGCTAGACCTCTTACACCCACAGATCTCATCCTGTTACCCCATTGTACGCTGGGACCTGAACACCACCTAAAAACACCTGCCATGGGACCCAGTAGCCACCATTACCCCAGGGACCCAACACCCTTCTCCAGGAGTTCTTTATGCCGCCAAAAAGGTTGATAATCAATCTTCCCTTCAATTGTTTTTCCTCATTTATTGTCTCTTTTTTTTAAATCATTATCATAGAATCCCCACAGTGTGGAAACAGTCACTTCGGCCCAACAAATCCACACTGACCCTGAGAGCATCCCACCCAGACCCAGACCCATCCCTATCCCTGAACACAACGGGCAATTTAGCATGGGCAATCCACTTAGCCTACACATCTTTGGACTGTGGGAGGAAACCCACACAGACACGGGGAGAATGTGCAAACTCCACACAGACAGTCACCCGAGGGTGGAATTGAACCCAGGTTCCTGGAGCTATGAGCCAGCAGTGCTAACCACTGAGCCACCGTGCCTCCATGGCTCATGGTTGATTACAGAGGGATAGACTACGATTACTTGTATTGGCCTATTCGCTCACGTATATTCCTTTAAAGCGTCCACCCCTTCATATCCCACCGTTCTTGAATTTATCCAAATTGTTATATTTCTAGTTCACCTGAACCTGTAAGCTTAAAGCCCTATATCCACAGTTTGTCACTACAGAATTGCACACCACATCACAATAACACTCTAATCTGCTTTACCCGTACCAATTGACATGTGGTTCAGGGAATCATTTGAAAATGAACCTTTGTGTTTTAATTTAGATTCCCAAAGAAGTTCATTCTGAATTGCCATTGTATTTCTTTGTGAATCTACCTAAGAGCGAGAATTATAGATTAGAAGTTGAAATTGACTTCAAGTCATTCATTCGGTTCTGATTATATCTGCAAAGATCGAGATTTTAAGATTAACTGCAACCGACGTGCGTGGTCAGCCTCTCTTACCTTATCAAACACATTCCTGTAAATAATATACCGCTGCTCATCTGGTCCTTGATCAGGACAGCCCAACTCCCCGGTCTCGGTGTTAACGTGTTTCCGAATGCGGCAAAGGAGGTTTCGGTTAGTAGGAATTGGTGAAATAGCCTGAGGCTTTCCTAGCGATGCTGTTGACGGACCTTCGCCGGCCATTTGAGTTTCCCCGCCCCGGCCGCCTCTCCTGATGATCAGGCCGTCGGTCTAGAGCTTGTCGGGAGTGGCCCAACCTTTCACACTCACTATTTTCTGTTCCCCGGCTCAACATTTATTTCCGAATCGTGGCAGAGCTTACATCTAAAAGATTTTTTTTGTTTTCCCCCCTCTGGACTGACGCTCGGTGTTCACAGCGTGACTCTCACAATCTCCAGGTGGTTGCTAAGGAGTGAAAGGACGCACCACATAGTTTTCTGGGAAATGTAGTTTCAAATCCACCTGTCTTTCAAAAAGGCTGTTTCTTAATCGGATTTACTTCTGTTCAACAGAAACAAATGTATCTAGTTGCAATTTCAACATGAAAAAAGTATGAACTTTGAAGTGAATTTTATCATTACTTCGTTAGTTAACTCCCACAATGCAATGCAACAGGCCGTCTTGATCTTAAAAAATATTAGAAACCAAGGTATCGATTTCATGCGGAAACACTTGAAATCTCCTTTAATATATTTTTCAATGCCTGGGAAAGCTGATGATATTTTGAAAAATTGAAGTGCATCGAAAACGGAATTACTTAGACACCCAAGCCCTGGCGGCAGTTTGGAAAACCCCGTGGCTTGGGCACAAGGTCCTCTTTTGATGCTGCGCTGTTAGAGTGTAGGGGTTGGTGAGTGACGTCCAGGTTTAACAAATATTTTATACAGCGTTACCTACTTACAATCTGATTTTGATTTCTATCTTTCTCGGCCTCATTTAGGTGGAACGAGGTTAAAAAATGCAGATCTTCGTGAAAACGCTCACGGGGAAAACGATAACCCTCGAGGTAAGGAAGGGGCAGGCAGCCGACTGAGGCCTTCTTCAGGTCTCGAGTAGAAACAAAACGTGCAAATGCCCCGAGCTGAAAATTAATGTTTAATGTAATGTTGATATAAGCTGCATTTAGTATGCACTCAGTATAGAGGTAGCGTGATCTCCAATTTATGAATCCTAAGGCCTTAAATAGTCATACGTGAAGGTTTTTTTTAAGATAGTGGTTGCGAATTTATCGCTCACTTTGTTCATTGAAACAGCAATATACGAGTAATTGAGTTTTGAGGATTAAGAAACGCGGTTTATTGACATTAGGTCTTTTATATCAAATAATAAAATGTTTAGTTTGGTATTACATTGATTTACTCCACTTGGAAATCATTTGTGAGGCCGCGCCTTAAGTACATGAGGACCTGTTAATGTTTCAGATTGTCTAATGTACAGGTTTGGTGTAGTTGTGTTAAATTTTTCGCTTTCAATCCTGCTTTCCTATATTCCTTAAAATTAGAAAACACTTAAGTTTTTAAGTCTATGTGAATGCTTCAGACCATTTTTTTTGCTTCAAAGTTGGTGTAGCCCCTTACAAACTAGATCAGTTGAGAAGCTTAAACTAGAAAGGTTGGTGCCTCTGACTTATTGATTTTAAAGTGTCATGGTGAAGCCTGCTTTCTAGCCAGTTTTAACCTATATGCAAAAAGAGAAGACAGTTTTTTTTTAAAAACTTTGAATGATCCAAATCACTTGGTTTTGTTTTGGTTTGTGACTACCTAAATTGCTAGTGAGCGCAAATTGTGCTCAAAGCTGATATTAAAAATTTCTTGGAATCTGTCTAATTATTAGAATTTTTGTATATTTTCTAGGTTGAACCCTCTGATACTATTGAAAATGTAAAGGCTAAAATTCAGGACAAGGAAGGTATGGAATAGTTTACATTTAACTTTCATTTTCTTTAAGAAAACTGATCTGTTAGCCTTCCAAGAATGTAACATGTGGTCAAAGTTTGCGTACAGATCAACATCATGATGGAAATCAATTTGCATTTTGCCTAGTCATAAGCAGCATCTAAACTGTTTTAAATGGATGGTCATCATGCTCAACAGAAGCCCAAGAGAAGTCCATTAACATCCTAACTAGGAAGAGAGTATTTTACAATGTCTATTTACATTTACAGTCTTGAGCTTGAGTCCTGAAAGACAGTTTTAGCTGCAGTGGGACATTACATTGGGGAGGTTTTTTTTTTTTGAACATATTCTGAGCATCATGAACTTTATTTCAGTTGTCACTTTTCACTGTTTGGCAAAGCCCGAGCTGTAAAATGCTAGACTCTAAAATGATGCTGGATGGTAAAACTATGGTGTCACTGCTGTTTCTGGATTTCTGCCTGGATACTCCATGGTGATTGTATAGAAAGGGCAGATATTTAACCCTTTTGTCCCCCTCTTAAAATGGTGGTATTGTAGATTTTATTTCTAGATACTATCTTTTGAATAGAGAGATTAGAAGTCATTGTAGACTGGAGTAAGTGGAACCTGAAATCAGGCCTGCTAGCTCAGATGAGGGCACTGCCAGTGCACCATAAGTACCCTCATGGATTGTTTCTAGACATTTTAAATCAATCTGTTCAGGTGTGTCTTTTACATATCCTCTAGAGCAGTTGGGACTTGGACCCATGCCTTCTAGCCAGTACCACTGTAGCACAAGAACACTTTGATCAACTAGATTCAATCGCCTGAAGCAGATGGGACTTGAACCTGGGTCTCCTGGCTCAGGCAGGGACCGTACCCCTGGGCTTCAAGATCCATGAGGTTTTGTGCCAGGGTGACTGCAGACCACAACCTTTTGCTTAACAACTGAACACACTGACTGCACCATAGAGACAGATAGCCCTTTGGATTATCTTTCTTTTACTTGGAAGTGTTACTTCTCTCAACTAAACAGCTTTTCGCACCACCAAATCACCCATGGTATGTTTCCTGTTAATCACTTGTGTCTCCAATTAATCAAAATGACTCCTTTTGGATCATAATCTGAACATAAGTAACTTTTGACCTGTGATCCATTTCAGATTCTTGTAAGTATTGAATTGTATTACATGTAGTAAGTTACTTTGTAAATGTTGTGTATACAAATATATACAAAATGAGCATGCAAGGCCTCAAATTTCAGAGATTAATAATTAGGCTGTCTGCTTTAGTGTAATTAAATGCCAGATAAATAGAGCCATGCACGTTTTTTAAATTCCAAAAAGCAGTGCTTCTTCATTCACTTAAAGCCAGATTACATGGTTACACACAAACCAATAAAATTTATAAGCTTTTCCACGTATGCATGATTTCCCACCTAGGCAAAGTTTCTGGCAGTTGAAATAGTGTGCAGAAGTAAGGTTCCCCTTTTAGAGGGGGAAGAAATGAACTTGCAAGTTTAATGTATTGACCAAGACAGCATTGCTTTTCTTTTAGCATTCTCTATGTTCGTATCATACCTGCATAAATTAAGATTTTAGGTTTTGTCCATTTATTATATTGTAGAACATAGAACAGTATAGCACAGTACAAGCCCTTTGGTCCATGATGTTGTGCTGACTTATTATCCTACTAAGATCAAACTACCCTGCACACCCTACATTATACTACCATCCAATTGCCTATCCAGGAGTCGCTTAAAAGTCTCGAGTATCTGACTCCACTACCACTACCGGCAGCGCATTCAACATGTCCACCACTCTGTGTAAAGAGCCTACCTCTGTCATCTCCCCTATACCTTCCTCCAATCACCTTAAAATTATGCCCCCTCGTAATAGTTATTTCCGCCCTGGGAAAAAGTCTGTGGCTATCCACTCTATCTATGCCTCTCATTTTGTACACTTTGGGTTAGCTTGACATCTTTATCTAGTTCAGATGTGATGCCATTTCTTTTCCTGTAACTTCATTATAGGTATTCCCCCTGATCAGCAGCGACTGATTTTTGCTGGAAAACAGTTGGAGGATGGCCGTACACTCTCTGATTATAACATCCAAAAGGTATGTTTACTTAGTTTAATTATGTCTGTGAATTTGTGGTTAGTGTATGAACCTGACTCTTTTTGTAACAATACTTTACACACCAGAACAAGCAGGATTATATACTTCATTCTTCACACAAACTTAATACTGTTCAATAGGAATCAACTTTGCACCTTGTATTGAGGCTGCGTGGTGGTGCCAAGAAGAGAAAGAAGAAGTCTTACACCACACCAAAGAAAAACCAGCATAAGAGGAAGAAGGTCAAACTTGCTGTCCTTAAATATTACAAGGTAATAGTTTGCATGACCAAATTACTGAGTTGACATTTTCAGAAGTTGTTGATCAAAAGTGACACAATGCTGTTTCGGGCAGATGAAAACTGGTATATTAGATACTGAACATTGTGCAGGAAGTGAAATTTTGAAATATTTTGAATTCAATACAAAAGAAGTTCCAAGGAATATTGTACAGGTTTTATTCCATGATACTGTGGAAGGAAAGTGATAATCTTACTATCTGCAATTAATGGGCAGAATTAGTTGACGTGTTAAAGGCATGGCCTCTTTATTATTGTACTGAAGACATTAATTGTAAAAATTCCCTAAATTTAAAAAGATTTCAAAACAAGTTACAAATGCTCTGAGTCATTTCAATTAAATTTCTTTTTTTAATTTAAGTACCAGTGATTTTCACCTGAATTAGATTTTACATTTAATTCGCTGAGGGGGTTGCACTACATACAAGAACAATTAGTCTAGATTCTGATGTAGAATCCTAGCTGGTGGAAACAAATTACTTCATTGAATTTATTCTCTTGAAACACAGCGTGTACAGAAAGTAAGTCATTACAGGATCTATTTGTACAATGTTATTCAAAATAGTATAAGTTAAAAGTGGCTAATACATGTATTAGCAGCTTCGGCATCTACCATATTACTTAGCACGTTGTCTACTTGATGACAAGCATGCTAGCTGTTCATAATAATCAGTACTCAAGGGTGTTTTAAACAGCAAAGTGAGGTTTGCTCATCTTCCCACTGTTGTCTTGTTTATTATAGGGATAGGTTTTTTGACTTTGCATGAAATTAAACTCATCTTTTTGACTTAGGTCGACGAGCATGGAAAAATCTCTCGCCTGAGACGTGAATGTCCTTCTGAAGAGTGTGGTGCTGGTGTCTTCATGGCCAGTCACTTCAATAGACAATACTGTGGCAAGTGCTGTCTAACATACTGCTACAACAAGAATGAAGATGCATAATTACACATAAAATAAACTGATGGAAAATGATGAACTCTTTGAATTGAGTAGTTTACTCCTTCAGTATGAGCTGATTTTTTTTTTTTTTGAAGTTGAGCATGAGCATGAGTATGATTTGTGTAGCAGCAAGCCACAAGATTTTACCCAACTAGCCAAGCTGAATTTTAAGCCTGTGCATTTAAGGGGAAGTTAAATAAGTGGGGGAGAAAGGAATAGAAAAAGTGCTAACAATGGAAAATGTACTGTCAGAAGAGGGTTGTATGGACCAATGTCCTTGACCAGTTGGGTGAATTGAATTGAATTTGGCCATCCTTTTAAAAGCATAAACAGAAATTTAAATATAAAATCAAAATTGCAAAATGTGCATATTTTAAATTATCTTGCCAATATACTTAAAGGCCGCAATGTTTTAGTTGGGTGGTCAATTGTTGCTCATTAAAAGATACTTACACGAAACATGATAATTGAGTACTTGCTACTTTTAAAAAAAAATCAGAGTAGATGGAAGAGGCATTCAACTAAGAATTAGAAGATACTATTTACCACAATGGTTTAGAAACAAAATTTAAACATAACCTGTCTAGATGGGTCATGTAAAGTTGGTGCTGATGTTGCATCTATTTGTGACTCTTGCTATTTTTTACCAACATATCTTTTATGTCAGTGTATACATGTAATGGTATAATACAGTAGATGGCACTCTAATGGGATAGCTAATGTTTAATAACCACTATGCTATGTTAGTGGACACCTGAATTTAAATTCCACCCCAGTTGGACCTCTAATTTCAATGAAAGCTTTTTATCACTAATGGTGATAAAGATATGATGGCATTGTCTTTAATGAAGTAATTTTTTTTTGTTTTAGTGAAGATAAGCTGTCATCTTTATCGATTCTGAAATGGCCTAGCAAGTCTGCAGTTGTATCAAAGCCCTGGTTGTTTGCAATATCTGGCATCAATCTCAACATAGCAAAGGCAAACTCAGTTCACTCAAGCTTTCTCCATTAAGTATGGGTCCCTGTTGAGTAACACCATAACATAACCTGAAAAATCCCATAGTCATACATTCAATGCACCAGACCAAATGCAAACTTTTCTTTCTCTTTTTCCCTGCCCAAACAAAACAGGATTGTCTTAATTAGAAGTAGCCATCCTCAGCATTCGCTCAACCACAAGTTGTTCGGCACCAAAGCCTCTTATTGGGCTGCTGGTGAATATGGACATTCAATACTGTATGGATGCTGGCAGAAAGTGGAGTTATGGTTTGAGTCAGATATGACTTTGTTAACTCACTTTCTTTCTGCATAGATGCTGCCAGACCTACAGTGTTAATCTGTAGCAAACGCAAAACATTTACGAGCATCTGCAGTAATTCTGTCTTAACAGAGGCAGGGACATGCATCTCAGTGATTTCATGAGTGTGCATAGTACGACTGCTACCTAGGTCCAAACTAGGCATATATGGAATGTTGGGAAACAGTAACATCAGAAGACGTGTAATCTACCACATCTAACCTTGGTTTCATGAATCTACAAATCAATGCCAGCATCAGAAGCAGACATAGCTGAAAATGAAGTACCAATCTAGTGTAGATGTAACACAGTTACACATCATCTACCCAGAAACAGTGTGTTAAAGAGTGAATTAATGTTACAACTGACATTAGAACAAAGTCATACCACACCTTATCATAAATTGGGGGAATGTAGGAGGGGACTTCAGGATCATCTGTTCTCAAATTAGGTGCATTTCAGCCAGAAGTGCAGAATTGATTATCCATCTTGGCCTCCTGAGCATCCCACTATTGAAGACAAACTTTGAAATAATATAAGTGAAATTGAGAAATGGCTGATTTAAAGGCTTAGTCCAAGATCCCAATCATAATGCTGAAAATTGGCACTCCAGGACAAGCTTAACTGCTAGCCAAGCTGATTTAGTAAACTACAACACTGGCATCAATCCAACAAAGTGGAATGCTACAATTGTTCTGTCCACAAAAACCGTAAGTGTAATCTAGCCAATTATGGCCCATTCAAATAACCAAGTGTTGGAAGGATTCGGTGACAGTACTGATAAGAACTAGGAGCAGGAGTAGGCCGTCTGGCCCTTCGAGCCTGCTCCGCCATTCAATAAGATCATGGCTGATCCTTTCGTGGACTCAGATCCACTTACCCGTGTTCTCACCATATCCCTTAATTCCTTTATTGTTAAAAAAAATCTACCTTTTTTTTAAAAAACATTTACTGAAGTAGCGTCAACTACTTCACTGGGCAAGGAATTCCATAGATTAACAACTCTCTGGGTGAAGAAATTCCTTCTCAGTTCAGTCCTAAATCTGCTCCCTCTAATCTTGAGGCTATGCCCTCTTGTCCTAGCTTCACTTGCCAGTAGAAACATCCTCTCTACTTCTTTCTTATCTATTCCTTTCGTAATTTTATATGTTTCTACAAGATCCCCCCTGAATTCCAATGAATATAATCCCAATCTACTCAGTCTCTCCTCATAAACCAACCCCCTCAACTCCGGAATCAACCTAGTGAACCTCCTTTGCACCCCCTCCAGTGCCAGTACATCCTTTCTCAAGTAAGGAGACCAAAACTGCACACAGTACTCCAGGTGTGGCCTCACCAGCACCTTGTACAGCTGCAACATAACCTCTCTGCTTTTAATCTCAATCCCTTTAGCAATGAAGGACAAAATTCCATTTGCCTTCCTAATTACTTGTTGTACCTGCAGACCTACCTTCTGTGATTCATGCACAAAGACACCCAGGTCCCTCTGCATAGCAGCATGCTGCAAGTTTTTACCATTTAAGTAATAATCCTTTTTACTATTACTCCTACCAAAATGTATGACTTCACATTTATTTACATTGTATTCCATCTGCCAGACCTTTGCCCACTCACTCAATGTATCTATGTTCCTCTGCAAAGTTTCACAGTCCTCTGCACACTGCTTTGCCACTCATCTTAGTTGTCATCTGCAAAGTTTGACACCCTACACGTGGTCCCCAACTCCAAATCATAGATATAAATCGTAAATAATTGCGGTCCCAACACCGATCCCTGAGGCACACCACTAGTCACTGACTGCCAGCTAGAATAGCACTCATTTATCCCCACTCTTTGCTTCCTGTTAGTCAACCAATCCTCTATCCATGCTAATACTTTCCCGTAATGCCATGCATCCTTATGCAGTAGCCTCTTGTGCGGCACTTTGTCGAAGGCCTTTTGGAAATCTAGGTACACCACATCCACTGGGTCCCCATTGTCCACCTCGCTTGTAATGTCTTCATAGAATTCCAAAAGATTTGTCAAGCATGACCTGCCCTTCATGAACCCATGCTGCGTCTGCCCAACAGGACAATTTCTATCAAGATGCCTTGCTACTTCTTCCTTGACAATAGACTCAAGCATCTTCCCCACTACAGAGGTTAAGCTAACCGGTCTATAATTCCCCATCTTTTGTCTACTTCCCTTTTTAAACAGTGGCGTCACATTTGCTGTTTTCCAATCTGCTGGGACTGCCCCAGAGTCCAGTGAATTTTGGAAAATTACCGCCAGTGCACCTGCTATTTCTCCTGCCATCTCTTTTAGTACCCTGGGATGCATTCCATCAGGGCCAGGAGACTTATCAATCTTTAGTTCCATTAGCTTGCCCAACACTACCTCTTCCGTAATTATGATCGTTTCCAGGTCCTCACCTACCTTCGTCTCTTTGTCAATTACTGGCATGTTATTAGTGTCCTCCACTGTGAAAACCGATACAAAATACCTGTTCAATGCCTCGGCCATTTCATCATATCCCATCACTAAATTCCCCTTCTCATGCTCTAAAGGGCCAACGTTTACTTTAGCCACTCTTTTTCGTTTTATATATTTATAGAAACTTTTCCTATCTGTCTTTATATTCTGTGCTAGTTTTTTCTCATGTTCTATCTTACTTTTCCTTATAGCTCTTTTTGTGGCTTTCTGTTGACCTTTAAAGTTTTCCCAATCTTCTAGTTTCATGCTGTTTTTGGCCACTTTGTATGCCTTCTCTTTCAATTTGATAGCCTCCCTTATTTCTTTAGACACCCATGGCAGATTACCCCTTTTCTTACAGTCCTTCCTTTTCATTGGAATATACTTTTGCTCAGCACTTTGAAAGATTGCTTTGAAAGTCCTCCACTGCTCGTCAGCTGTCCCACCATAAAATCTTTGTTTCCAGTTTACTTTAGCCAAGTCCTCCCTCATTCTATTGTAGTTCCCCTTGTTCAAGCACAGGACCCTGGTATTGGATTTTATCTTCACACTCTCCATCTGTATTCTAAATTCAACCATACTGTGATCACTCCTTCCTAGAGGATCCCTAACTATGAGGTCATTAATTATTCCTCTCTCATTACACAGGACCAGATCTAGGATAGCTTGCTCCCGCGTTGGTTCCATTACATACTGTTCAAGAAAACTATCACGGATACACTCAACGAACTCCTCCTCAAGGCTACCCTGACCGAGCTGGTTCGACCAATCTACATGTAGGTTAAAATCCCCCATGATAATTGCCGTACCATTTTTACAGGCATTAGTTATTTCTTTGTTTATTGCCCACCCCAATGTGATCTTATTATTTGGTGGCCTATAGACTACGCCTATCAGTGACTTTTTCCTCTTGGAACTTCTAATTTCCACCCAAATGGATTCAACCTCATTCTCCACAGAACCTATATCATCTCTCAGCACCACCCTGATGGCATCCTTGAATATCACAGCTACACCACCTCCCTTACCTTCCTGTCTGTCCTTCCGAATAGTCTGGTACCCTTGGATATTTAACTCCCAGTCGTGACCATCCTGTAACCATGTCTCCGTAATGGCTACCAAATCATATTCATTCGCGATGATTTGTGCCGTTAACTCATCAACCTTGTTACGAATGCTACGAGCATTCAGGTAAAGTGCCTTTATGCTAGCTTTCTTACCCTCATGATTTCATGCGAATTCAGCAATAACCTACCTATCAGTGCTTAAGTTCAGTTTTCGGTAGAACCACTTGGTTCAAGACCTCAATACAACTTTGGTGTAAACACAGGCAAAACATGAATTCCAATGGTTAGTAAGAGTGACTTCCGTTGACATCAAGGCAGCATTTGACTCAGTGTGGTATCAGGGAGTGCCGGCAAATCTGAGGTCAGAAGTCATGGGGAGTACTCTCCACTAGTTGTAATCATACCAGTCATAAAAGAAAATATCACATTAGCTCAAACCTCTATGTCCATGCCTTATGGAGTGGCAAATGGAACTGCCTGAGTGAACATTGACATTTTAGTTTGTGATGAAGGTCATTGAGGCAGATGAAGATGATTTGGTGCAGGACAGAATTCTGAGGAACTCCTGCAACAGTATAATGGGGTTTCTAATAACCTATAATTAGAACAGGAAATACATCAAAGTATATGAAATGTTCTGTCATGTATGCTAGTACTTCCTCAGGTGTTTTTCATCACATGTCCCTATCCTTCTAAATTTGCTAAAACCTCTCTTGTATGTGCAGGTTAGGTGGAATACCCATTCTAAATTGCCCCGTAGTGTCTAGGGACATGCAGGTTAGGTGAATTAGCAACGGCAAATGCAATTTTATGGGGATAGGGCAGGGTCTGGGTGGGATGCTCTTCAGAGGGTTGTTGTGGACTTGATGGGTCAAATGGCCTCTTGCTGCACTGTAGGGATTCTGTGATATTGTACGAAAGCTAATCTGAAGGCATATTAGGGGAGATTTACCTTGTCAAGATAGTCAAAAGGTTTAAGTGATACTAAATATATTTTACATTATAATTTTTGTTTCTGAAAGAAAACAAAATATTACTGCTGAAAAACAAGTTGCTTTTATTGATGAAATTTTAAACTATTGTTTAAACTCTCCTAGCGAGCTCCCTAATCAATCATGAACGGATTTGCCTTTGGTGAAATGTTGAAATTATATTCACATTTTAAAAGTAATATGTTAAATGACAGAATTGGATTCATTTTTACAATTACTATTTCAGAAAGTATCCCACTCCATTGAAGGCATATATTTGTTACACGTGCACAAAGGTATTCCATTTTTTCATAAGTGTCATTTATGTCAACCCTGACAGTATCAGAAGGCTATTCAACTGCAACTGAATATCATTGAATATTATAGAATTCCTACAGTGCAGAAGGAGGCCATTTGCCCATCAAGTCTGCACTGATCGTCTGAAGAGCATTCCACCCAAACTCCACCCTATCGTTGTATCCCCACCTAATCTGCATGTCCCTAAACACTACGGGGCAACTTAGCATGGCCAATCCACCTAATCTGCAAATCTTTGGACTTCTGGAGAGGTTTTAAAATATTTAGAAGTATAGGGACATGTCATGAAAAATGCAAAGAAGATACTAGCATACATGGCAGAACACTTTTGTATATTTCTGATTATAATTATAGGTTGTTAGAAGCTCCAGTCACAGGCATTGCTCTTGACTGACATCCAAGTATGGATTTTAGAACAGGACCCTGACACACATTTACCAAACTCTTGACATTGACATTTTTTTTTAAAATGAGCGCCGTAAAGGTAAAAGGAAAGGAAATTGTTACCTTTAGCCATATTCATCGCTAATGGGATATGATAGCTTATAACAATTATTGGCAGACAGATCCAGCTGAATACAAGTTTAAAAACCACAATGAAGAAAAAGTGCAGTAATTTCTTTGAGATTCCTACAGAGTATTTTTCCCTAAACACTAATTGCAATACAAAATGCACAGAAATTGCTTTTATTTTAAACCAGTGTTCTACGACTCATGATCACTAAATCTGAAAACAGAAAAAATAAAAACTGTGTCACATATATAAAGTATTAGTGAAACAATGTCTACAATGACAGGACTTCCCAAATTGTGGGCCATATCCCCCACACAAAAATGGGGTTTGGTTTGTGAGTTCAGAGGCTGCAGTGGTTGCCACAGGATCTTGACCTGATAGCAAAGGCCCCCCCCTGTAAATCATTTATTTTTCTATTGTTGGCCACGAGTAGTGAAAGACTCTCTGATCACTGCCACAAAAAAACCTTTGAGAACCAGGTGCTAGTATTTTCTTGTAGATTTTTTCCCCATTAACTTCCTCAACTTACTGGCAAATGAAATCCATATCCTAAATATTGAGATAGATGCAACAAATGTGCCATTTCTTCTTTCATCTCAGCAGCCAAAGCTTGTCCAAATCAGCTAAATTTGAGATGTGCATAAGCAGTTTTTTTAATAAGTATATACTTTTACCAAAAGTAAATGAGTCGTAATATTTTCAGGGGATGGAAAAACTTCTACAATTATATCACACTAATATTTTCTGTTGTGTATTCCAAAACCCTATGGTTGACTATCATAAAATCTGATTGTGTGTGTAATCTACAGTCATTTATATCAAATGTCCTGTAGATGTAGAAGTGGAATTTCAAGATTTTATGTAGCTGAGAATTATAAAGTTATAAACAGAATTATAAATAATTATGTAGGAGTCCAATTTATAGTGTGGCTTGTACTATATGTTAAGTTTTTTGTTGTTGAGCACTTGAAACAACAATAACTCTGGAAGCTTCTGTGTAAAATCCCTGATCCCACTCAAAAGCTCTCATAGCCCCCAAAATCTTCACACAAAGTCTGAGTCATTAAAATGGGCTCATACCAGGTAGAAGTTTTAGAAGCACTGCACAATGATATGAAGAGAGGAATTGTGCAAAGGATGCCAACTGGAAAGGAAACAGAAATGGGGGTCAGTCTACATTGCATATGTTATAATTATAACCAACTGACTCAACGGTACATTCGTGAACCATTAAAACTCGCACACTTTGAAAACAGTTTCAAGTTATGTTGATATTTTAGGTATTATAATTAAGTAATTTCAGATGTTTAAATTTTAAAGTCACAATGCTGCATGTAAAAGCAGTTAAGGAATGATACTAAGTGACTTCATTAGTGCTGATGATTTTAAAATGAGCGCTGGTTTCTGAAGAGCATTATTATGCCATTCTTCCAGCTTCATACTTCCATATTAATATTTCTACTTGGCACCATTCTCCATCAGATATTGAATGAGCTGCAGTTCCTAAAATCCATTGAAAATACCACTGCTGTCAGAGCTAAATTGTATATTTGCTGCAATTTTGACTGTAAATGGTTGTTTTGAAAAGCTTTTTAATAAAGTAGCAATGCTTGCATCAATCTGATCCAAGACAGATGTACCTCTTACAGCATTTTAATACAGTAACAGTCAAAGAAGCCAATGATTTCAAATATATTATAAATATATTATAATACCAATGAAAAGAAAATGTGATTCAGGTTTTCCCCACATTAAAAGGTCAAGCTAGATCCAAAACTGGCTTGCACACAGAAGGCAAAGGGTGATGGTGGAGCGTTGCTTTTGTAATTGGAAGTCTGTGACCAGTGGTGTCCATAGGGATCACTGCTCGGATCCTTGTTTGTTTGTTGTGTACATTAACAACTTGGGTGTGAATTTAGAAGATTTAATTAGTAAGCCTACAGATGACATAAAGATAGAGAGTGTTATTGATAGTGAAGAGGATGGTCTCAGGCTACAGTCTGAAATTGATCAGCTGGTAAATCGGATAGAACAACAGCAGATGGAATTTAATCCCAATAAGTGTGAGGTGATGCATTTCGGGAGCTCTGATAAGGAAAGGATATTCATAATATGATAGGTTTCTAGGGAGTTCTGAGGAATAAGGGACCTTGGCGTACAGGTCCATAGATCCCTTAAAGTACAGTAGACATGGTGAAGAAGAAGAAAGCATATGGGATGCTTGCCTTCACTAGCAAGGGTGAAGAATATAGGACCAAAAATGTCTTATTACAACTTTGTAAAGCATTCCACAAATGGAATACTATGTACAGTTCCGGTCACTGCACTATCAGAAGAACATGATTGCACTGGAGAGGGGGCAGAGGAGATTCACCAGGATGTTGCCTGAGATGAAAAGTCTCAGTTATGAGGAGAGACTCAATAGGCTGTGTTTGTTTTCCTTGGAGCAAAGGATGCTGAGGGGGAACGTGACTGACATATACAAAATTACGAGAGACACAGACAGAATAGATAGTGAGAATCTTTCCCATGGCAGACATACCTAAGACCAGATGGGCTTAAGTTTGGTGAAGAGCAAGTGGTTTAGAGGAAATCTTGAGAGAAAAAAAAACTTTACATCCAGAGGTGGTAAATATATGAAACATGCTGCCTGAGAGCGTGGTGGAGGCAGGTATTCTCGCGGCCTTTAAGAAAGTTCTGGATGTGTACTTAGAATCCCATGGCATAGTAGACTATGGACCAATGGTAAATGGGATTAGTGTGGTTTGGTGTTTGTTGGATGGCACAGACATACAAAAACAGACCCTTTGGTCCAAATCGACTATGCCGACAAGATATTCTATATTAAACTAGTCCTATTTGCCAGCATTTGGCCCATATCCTTTTAAATCTTTCCTATTCATGAACCCATCCAAATGCCTTTTAAATGTTGTAACTGTACCAGTCTTTACCACTTCCTCTGGCAACACATTCCATACCCGCACCAGCCTCTGTGTGAAAAAGTTGTTCCTCAAGTCCCTCTTAAAACTTTCCCCTCTCACCTTAAATCTATAGCCTCTAGTTTTGGACTTAGTACAATCTCAGTACTCCAGTGCAAAAGTGTGATTATGTCTCCATCACTTTCAATATTTTGTCAATAATCTTAATGAATTGTTATACCCATATCAATGCTAAATAGTTTAGCGCCAGAACAGAAATCTAATTGTGTCTTTCACCACCATATTGTGCTCAAACACCCAAAAGTCCACTGCAACTTGCATCTAATTTTCAGACCAACTCAAAGGCACAAAGTGGAGAAAACAATTTTGCAGTTATAAGGTTCTTTCCATAAGATATCTAAAACTATTATTCAGTATTGAAACCTAATGGAAGGATATGAGTATCTTTTAACTATGATTACAGCCAGCTTGGTTTGAATCTTTGTTTTCTATAGCTAATTTTTAAATTCAAAGCAAGATCTGCAACTGCTATGCAAGTACTACTTTTTTTATTTTGCATATTTTTAGTTAGAAGTGGAGATTCAGTTGCAGTTGAGTCTTATGAAAATCTTGTTCTTCAATATCATTTGGATTTTATGAGCCAGATCCTCTATGTTGAATGCTGCCTATGGCCAACAACACTCCTTCAATGTAAAAGCACAATGTAAAAGACCATTACACCATGTGCATAACCAGATATATCATCAGCATCTAGATCTACATTTAGGCTGTTTTAATTATGTTTCATCAGTAATCAATGTTTAACCTGGTACTAGGGGAGCAAAAATGCACACAACATTAAAACAACAGCATTTCAAATTGTGGTTTTAAAACCACCCAGGCCAAAGCCAGACTTTGCAATATTCTTACCAGAAAGTTATTTCAAGGATCTTGTTACATTCAAAATGGTGCTTGCATGGATCCACTGAATACCATTCACCATCCTTCAAAGTAGTTGCCCATGAAATGCTGAACACATCATTATTAAATCTTCCATTTGGTCATTTCACTGGATTTTATATTAACAGTGCAATTTAAGTAATTTTAAAAATTCTTAGGTTCTTGTAGTAATCAAGTTTAAAATCCTGGATCCCAAGATATTTTTTGCTGAATTAGTTTTTCTTCATAACAAATAATTTCATCACCAAGCTTAAATTCAATGTCTTTATCCAAGCTGAGGCCACATTCCATCCCCGTCTTCACAACTGGGACATCATCTTTCAGATGTTTGAGAGAGGCGAGAAAACCTGAACGAAAGGCAAAGTTTCGTTATACTATAAACTCGGTTTTATTCTGTCAGTAACAAATACTTAGCAAAACATTTTAAAACATATGCAACTAACTTGGTGGTAGGTCATTTAGCTCTTCGAGCCTGCTCTGCCATTCAATATGATCATGGCTGATGGTCATGCTCAGTAACATAAAACAAAGAACTGTGGTTACTAGAAATCTGAAACAAAAACAGAAATTGCTGGAGAAACTCAGCAAGTCTGGTAGTGTCTGGAGAGAAAGCAGAGTCAATATTTCTCGTCCAGTCACTTTCTGAAATATTCTGAAAAGGGTCAGTAGACTTGAAATGTTAACTCTGCTTTTTCTCGACATGCTGCAAGACCTGCTGAGTTTCTGCAGCAATTTCTATTTCATTTCATCCTACTCAGTGTCTTGTTCCAGCCTTTTCCCCATACACTTTGATCCCTTCAGCCCCAAGAACTATATCTATCTCCTTCTTGAAAACATTTAATGTTTTGGTCTCAACCGCTTTCTGTGGCAGAGAATTCCACAAGGCTTACCACACTCAAAGAATTTCTCCCACCTCAGTCCTAAATGGCTTATCTTGTGTCCTTAGACTGTGATCCCTGGTCTGGACTCCTTGGAAACATCCTTCCTGCATTTACCCTGTCTAATCCTGTTAGAATTTTATACGAGATTGCACACCCCTGCCCCAAGACTTCAAATGTCAGTCCTGCCATCCCAGGAATCAGACTGGTAAACTTTTGGTGCATTCCCTCCATAGCCAGAACATCCTTCCTCAGGTAAGGAGACTAAAACTGAACACAGTACTCCAGGTGTGGTCTCACCAAGGCCTTTTACATTTGAAACAAGACATCCTATTCCTGTAGTTTATTGTCTCGCTATGAAGGCCAACATACCATTTGCCTTCTTCACTGCCGCTACAACCTGCATGCTTATTTTCAGGAACTGGAAAGTAAGGACAACCAGGTCTCATTGCAACTCCTCCTTTTCTAACCTAAGACCATTCACATAATAATCTTTCAAAATGGGGATCCTCACATTTATTCACATTTTTCTTCACCTGCCTTTTATTTTCCCACTCACAACTTGTCTAAATCACACTGAAGTTTCTCTGCACCCTCCTCACAATTCTCCCTCTCACTCAGCTTTGTATCATCTGCAAACTTAAAGATATTAAATTTAGTTCCCTCATCTAAATCATTAAACATACTGTGAAGAGCTGGGATCTAAGCTCTGATCCTTGCGGTACTTCACTGGTCACTAACTATCACTCAGAAAATCACCTGTTATTCCTACTCTTTGTTTCCTGTCTGGTGGCCAGTTCTCTATCCTTGTCAGTGCGCTACCTCCAATCTCATGTTCTTTAATTTTACATGCTAATTTCCTATGCAGGAATCAAAAGCTTGATACTACCTTCTTCCTAGTTCTGAGGAAGGGTCACCGGACCCTAAACATTAATTCTGATTTCTCTTCACAGATGTTGCCAGACCTGATGAGCTTCTCCAGCAATTGCTGTTTTTGTTTCGGATTTATACAGCATCCACAGTTCTTTTGGTTTTTACTGAAAAGAGAGTTTTTTTTAAAAATTCCCTTGTTTGTTTCAGAAAAGACTTTACATTTTATGGACCATTCCAGAGTCTCAGTGAGTTACTGAATGATGTTCACAATGCTTTGCCTCCTGTTGGATTTGTTGCAGGCATAATTTGTTAAATAAAAGGGAATTTCATAGAAGGTGTATAAACACAATTGTGCAACAACTGGATATGTGTGCAACAGCTGAACAAAGCCCCTCAAAATACTCATAAAAGGTAAAATATTCATTAAATTAGTTTTTAAAGAAAGAAAATTGCTTTTTCTGAAATAGCATGATTGGGTCTACAGTACAGGAACACTTTTGCAGGTTATATACATAGAACTGCACAAGAGGTAAACTTGCCTTTCCACAAAATATTTCCGTCACGGGTGAGCTTAAACTTCATCTTTCTGTGCAACTGACCCTTCTGGACTCTGCACCCTGCTACAGGAACCTTTGCTTTACCTATTGTTACATGGAAGCATGCCAACACAGATGCTTCTCCTGGAAGTAAAACAAAATAGAATTAAAGGATATGAAAACTGCTCTTGTAAAATACATATCTAAATAGTCAAAAACTGGGCATATATCAGTTCATATTTACAACACACAGCCTTTTAAACTCACTTGTTTATCTGTATCTCACAAAGAATGTCCATTCAACTTATAAGAGGCAAAACACAAAACATACCTATTATATTTTCTTCAACATCTGGTGGCAACTTATCACTCAGTTCATCCTTGAGGTCATCAATAAGTTTGTAGATAACCTTATGCAATTTGATTTTTATTCCTCTCTTGGTAGCCATCTGTTGTACTTCTTTGCTTGCATTTACGTTGAAACCAAACACAAGACCTAAAAATCCAAGAAGAATGCTGTTTCTCTGTAATTGCAGAGGTACCTTCATTATTTCTTAATGCACCAGAATGCTATCTCAACCGTATTCAGAACAAAAATTCAGGAAAACATTTACTACCAGCAAATGAACATTTCTACTTGTTCTTCACCCAACGTAGATACATGGTTAAAGTACATTCATATTGCCTCAGTATTGCTTTCTAGTTCCAAATTAGTTCATAGATTTCTGACAATATTTCCCACAATAAGTTACTTATAGGTTTTCTGCTATCAATATTTATTAAACTTCACTGAGATTCTATCAATCCACCATGAATTTAAAAGGAATATATAGTGTCAAACAAAACCAACGTAATTCATAAAGGATATAGTTAAATTAGTTGATGATAACAGCAGAACCAAAATTGGTTGAACAATAACAATAGAAATGCGGGAGTGTCAGTATCTAGGTATTTCAAATCCCAGTTCACAATGAATAATATAGTGGCAACTTTTAGTAACGTAAAATTTGCTGATGACATCAAACTTTACAGTCGAGTGACAAGCACAAGATAAGATAAATGGTGGCTTTCAAAAGAATCTGAAACATTTTAATGGCCAGATTTGGGAAATATATATGAATTTTAATGTCAGTAGACATTAGATACACATACTGAGATTGATAGACCAAGAGAAACTTGGGATGATTTCTTATGTATTCTTGAGAATTTCATGATGTAAAAAATCTGATGTTATGTTTTGCATTTAATTGAACCTAGTATTGTTTCCACTAAGTATTTCTGGAATTATGAACTTCCATAAATAATGTAAAACCTTAACAACAGGAGTCATCTCAGTGTGGCATAAGCATTACTGCAAGGTTGAAAACTGAATCAAGAGTGTGTTGGTCCTGGGGAATGAAACATTTTGCCAATGTCAGCTAGTTCAAATTAAATTTAGTTTGTCCAGAGTGTTTTAATTCCCTCAGCCTAGCTTTCAATTACAGCCTGACCTTCACGAAACACCTTTGATTTCACCATCCTACCTGATATGTCTTGCTGAATGTGAATTGTCCTTTGAATACCAACTTTTTTTAAGACTTGTTTCAAATTTTCTCTCGTTTAAAGTTGTGCTGTTTGTCTATTATATGCCTAACCTAAACAGTAATATTCTGAACTTGTTTTATTTGTCTTTCACACCTTGCATATCTCAGCAAAAGTTAACATATTTCCTTCTCAATACTGTAAGGCCTAAAAGCCTAAGCTCATTTAGTCTTTCATATTGGCTCCAATTTTCACTTCACCAAACCATATTAGAATCAAAGTCAAGACCCAAAAATTAATATGATAGAGCAATAACCATGGAAGCTCTCCATTCTCTTTTCAGGATATCATTGAATAATCCCATTGGTACCTTGTATGCAATCTGACTTTAAAAGAGTTACATTTCTGTAAATGTTCCAGAACTTAAAACCTGGCTGAGTTGGATCTGTCTTATGCTTTCTCAATGTGTGCGCAGGTGCAGGGTGTGAAATCAGGATTACCAGTTCTTTCCGCCCACAGCCTTTGAGTATGGCAAGAGCTGGGAAGCAGATCTCCAGCACAACTGCTCAGCTACTTGATCACAGGAGCAGAAATAGCAAATAAAAAGTTAATAAATACATAGTTAAAAGCAAAATTAAACCCTTACCTGAAAAAATCTCTGCTGAAACAATATCATTTTCACTGATATCTCCTATACCAAAGTGAATCACTTTGAGTTTACACTGTTCATCAGCATCATAACTATCCAGAATGTTTAGAATGGCCTCTACAGAGCCATCAACATCACCTACAGAGAAACAAAATACACTTCTCATGTATTCAATCACCATGTCAGTTTGTGTTTCTGAATTTGTACTTATAACCAAGGCAGAAAACATACCAATACTGGATAAAGAGATAAAGCAACAAGGAAATAAATACATTCATCACCACAAGAGTGCAAGCAATAAATCCAATTGGCAACAGCTTCATCCAAAATGAGATGGATTGAGAATGTCTGACAGCAACCTAACAGCCCAGCAGAAAATCAAACTTAGCCTATGAAGAAAAGTAATAACAACATATAGTATGTAGAATCAAGAATCCAATGTGGTTGTACTGCACCAATGAAGTACATCATTATCTTCAAGTTTATTCAATAAGAAGTTAGGTTATATAGATGAAGAAAGCTGCGCAAATGAAATCCTCATTTAGCTAGGAATATGGTAGGGCTGCAATAACTGGTCTTGGTTTATGGAGAAAAGAATTATCAATAGCTTTAGAGCCCCAACTTTTAGAAGTATACACAGATGTTGAACAAGCACATAAGTTGAAAACAGGAGATAGAGAGAACTGCAGATGCTGGAAATTAGAGTCAATACAGTGCTGAGCTGGAGGAACAAAGCAGGTCAGGCAGCATCAGAGGAGCAGGAAAGTTGACGTTATGGATTGGCACCCTTCATCAGGATTGGGCCAGACTGCTCTTGAATAGAATAACCAAATTCACAATCACATCCTCACATAAGACACTTGGGCAAAGTATCAGAGGGCTTTCATACTTCAATAAAAGGAACTTATTGAAGACCCACTCGCATTAATGACAGAGCTCCCATGTAAATTGATGCATAGGATGATATATGTGTACAACCGCGAGTGGGGGAGTAGCACGGTTGAGGTGTGTTGGTGGTAGAGGGGACATGACTCAGAACAACATATGTGCATAAATCCATTTACCTTTTATTATTATTGGAAGTGAAAGTTCATCAGTCTCAGTCCTTTCTTTAGGCCTTGTTGACATTAGATGTTTATTGGCCTTATACATAGCTGATTTTCTCTGTCTCCAGCTCATGCTACTAAAGCTCTCCCGTTCCTTTTTGTACATTTCCTGGTGTTCCTTCTGTTTTGCTTCAATCACTTTAAGGTCTTGTTTATGTTTTTCTTGTGTCTCAACATACTTCCTCCAATCCAAAACCTCTCTGGCCCTTTGCTAAACAACCAAGAAAGCCAATTAGAAAAGTGAAGAATTCATGTTTTCAAGAAAATCACTATCAATGGGGCACACATAGGATAATAATAAACCTATTCTGAGGAGTATTAATTGATCATGAGAACAAACATATTACAAGAACTAAGATCTATTCCTCTCAATTATTTTGACTTCCTAGGCATTCTAAATACCAGCAGATGCTCCCACAGAATCACTGGAAATACGTTCATTAACCAGACTAACCGCAGGCTCTAACCTATTATGTTTAATCAGTTAGTAATATAAATTTCATAGGAGCAAGGTCTTGCGTAAAGCCTCAAATATATATATCATTCACTTTGAACCAAAGCGACGAGAGACAATATTTTGCTGCCGTCACTGACATCAGATTATAGAGTTGTAATACTAACCATCATTTATAGTACACAACATTTTGCTTCCATACCTCTGATTCCACTTCAAGAATTTCATCTCCAGCAGATGGAAGTTCCTTCCAGCCAATTATCTCCACTGGGGTACTTGGTCCAGCAGCTTTCATTGGCTTGTTATTCTCATCAAACATTAGTCGTACCTTGGCCCAACTCTTCCCTGCTACCAGGATACAACCTTTTGTCAATGATCCACGTTGGATAATAGCTGTGGTGACTGGTCTATCAAAACAAAAAAGTGATTTGACAAGTTTAATACATTTATGGTGGTGGATATGAAAGAAAGATTGTCACTTATGTAGCAGAAGATCAATCATCTCAATCCCAAAACATCACTGCAGGAGTTCCTCAGGGTAGTGTCTCAGGGTGGAGAACGAGTTTTGAAAATAATACATCAAGCCCATCACCTGACATATTGCTGCTTCCAGATAATTTTGCTGGATGAGACTGAACAATAGAAACACCGCCTTCCTGGAAGTGATAGGTAGCCAATTAATGCCTACTAACTAGCTACTTGAAGTCACATTGTACATACTGCCAGGATCTTACTGGCAGTAATTGGGCCCAATGTTTTAGGTGAACTTCGACAGGACCTTGGGGGATGCCTCCTGGCAGCCAGAAAGGACTGGAAAAGCCTCTTGTATTTATCCCTCCCTCTCCTGGAGCTGCTTCAGCCACAGATTCATAACTGCAGCTGCAGGCCACCTTGTAGAGAGGGCTCCCTCCACAATGATAGCTTGGCATGTGTAGTCAAAAGTAATTTAAAAATTTTGTGTCTTCAGGTGAAGCGACAGGGATGTGGGTGACAGAGATGACTTTGGCCATTATAAGTTGCAAAACTAGTTCAAAAGTTCCAAGCATATGCTTAAGTATTCCAAAGATCAGCAATTATTGGAGTTAAGAATTTTTTAAACAAATGTCCCATCTACAATTTAGAATGGAATCTATTTTAAACTTCCATCTTTGCCATTATGTAAACTGCTTAGGAGTTAAAGAATACAGTTAGATGTAGTTCTTCCTCCATTCTCTGTGTTGCTGTTTAGCAAAGTATTTGGATTCCACTCAGCATCAATTCATGAAGCTGGGCACTTCGAACATAGAGACTTGTAGAAATGAACTTGCATCCCATCACAGCATGTTGTCTCGTTTAGGTTTAAATTATTTATGCAACAAATAATGAAGCAATAGTTTGCTTGATCTGACAGTTCATTGCAAATACATGGTAAGTGCATTATAATAGCGTATTTTAGAAAACCATATATACACATATCAATCTTTAACATAACTATGAAAAATCAAAGATTCAAACATTTTCTGTACTTTTCTTTTACAAAATATTAGTGCTACAATTTGGTCAACTACTATTTATGATTTTGTTAGGAAATATACTATCAATTTTCAAACTCAGGCCATGTATCACCAATAACTTACCCTTTTCCTTTATCATTTCGACATTCAATAACAATACCCTCAACAGGTCCTGTACAATCTGCTTTCAACTCCAACATTTCCGACAGAGCGACAGTGGCCTCAGCTAAAGCGATCAAATTGTCTCCCTAATAAATATTGACAGCATATGAAAACATTTAATCACAATTCAAAAACATATACAGTTTGAGAAATCCAAAATGCTTCTATTTTACCTTTCAAAGGAACGTGGACAGTCTTATATTCTTATAAGGATATGAACTATTTCTGCCAGAATTGGAATTACATGCTCTTCTGTTTACCAGAGACTTTTTTTTCACAGCAATGCATGTTACATTGTTTGAGTAACTTGAAAATAATTATGATTTATTCCTTCACTCCAAATAGCTTTATTAGCTTTGGCCTAATTAAAACATGCTGAACAGCATTCAAGGTGGAAAGAGATGCAATTTTCAAAAATGTCAAGTTAGATGTTATTGTTTTCCCAGCTTGCTTCCATGTGCCCGTAGACAGTTGGTTCCACAGCAGCAGTTTGAATAAAGACTTAATTGTGAGTCATCATTTTTGTCCTTTTTGACTGTTCCATGCTAGAGAAATCCAACATGGGAGTGTAACCATTTTAACAAGTGGTTGTAAAATTGGGCAGAATAATGGCAGATGGAATTTAATCCCAACAGGTGCTAGGTGATGCATTTTTGGAGGTCTAATAAGGGAAAGATGTCCATAATGTATAGTAGGCCCTTGAGGAGTATTAATGAACTAAGAGACAATGGTGTACAAGTCCAAGTGCATAGATCCCTGAAGATGTCAGCACAGGTAGACAGGATGGTGGAGAAGGCATACAGGATACTTGTCTTCATTAGCCGGGCCATAGAATATAGGAGCAAGGAAGTCTTACAATTTTATCAGACATTGGTTAGGCCGCAGATGGAATACTGTGTGCTGTTCTGGTCGCCACACTATTGGAAGGACCTGATTGCACTGGACACGATGCAGAGAGATTCACCATGATGTTGCTTGGGATGAAAAGTCTCAGTGAAAGAGGAGAGTCTGGGTAGGTTGGGGATTTTTTCCTTGAAAACAGGAGGCTGAGGAGGAGATCTGATTGAGGTTAACAAAAATCATGAGGCATAGACAGAGTAGAGTGTGAGAATCTCATCCCCATCATAGACATATTGAAGACTAGAGCGCATAAGTTTAAGGTGAGGAGTACGTGGTTTAGAAGATATCGGAGGAAACTTTTCTTACCCAGAGGGTGGCAGAGATATGGAACATGCTGCTTGAGAAGGTGGTGGAGGCAAGTACTCTTGCAAGATTTAGAAGCAAGTGGATGTATACTTAAAATGCCAGGGCATATTAGGCTATGGACCAACTGCAGGTAAATAGGGCTAGTGTAGTTTGGTGTTTATTGGTTGGCATAAGCATGGTGGGCTGAAGGGCCTGTTTTCTGTGCTGTATAGCTCTATGACTCCATGACTCCAAGTCTGGTAGATGTGATAAAATTACAACATTCAGAGAGCAGTGAATGAAGCATACTATTAAAATCAATTACCTTAAGGGCTGATATATTTATGGACTGAACATCACCACCATATTCTTCACAAATCACATCATAAGCCAACAATTCCTTCTTTACTTTTTCATGATTTGACTCTGGTTTGTCACACTTATTTACTGCCAGAATTATTGGAACTGCAATGAGAACAGTTAAAATTAGATGGAAATAAATAACATGGTACAATATTCAAAAGATATTTGAAAACATTTTCTTTATCAGCTATTTTTGATAATCAATTTCCATAGCTCTTTACTTACTTACATTCATGAAAAGAATTAAGCTTTTTAAAGCTGAGTTTGGCTAACTGCAATAGAATTGTCGTTAGATTAGGAAGCAAGTGATCAAAACTTCAAAGTTACACTTCAAACTGGTGCTGAACAAAAATAAAGGATATACTAGATCCGAAGCAGATGGCATGCAATATTATACAAAAGAACCAACTGATCTTTACGAGGTTTCAAGAGAGGAAGTGGAGATTTTAATTCATTTGTTAAAAGTTATTTGTAGATTTTGTGATTTTCAAAAGAGTGAATAAGCTGCCAAATGCTACCCTTCTCCAATACTTCTGATGCATAATAATGTAATGTTTGCAGTATCAGCAACCTAGAAGTTTTGAGTTAAAATACCATCATGATAAACTGTGAAAGTGAAAGCAATATTTTGGTGAAAATTCGTAGGCTGATATCAGAAAACAATTACCTTAAATGTAATCGGGAAGAAAAACATTAATGTGTCTCAGGGAAGGAAACCTGCTGTGCCTATCTGTGCTGGCATTTGATTCCAGTTCTAGACAACATGTTGATTGTTAATACCCTTTGATATGTCAAGCAAGGTTCTTAATTACACAAAAATCTCTAAAAGTAGCCACGCTACCTTCAAGACAATAATAAACAATGGCTATTAACCACTTCCTGAGACTGAATGAAAAGAAACATGAAGCATCCACTGAAAAATGAATTATATACAACTAGTTTCTGGCATCTACATAACTCTAGATTTAAACTTACCATTAGCATTTTTAGCATGTTGAATTGATTCTATGGTTTGCTTCATTACTCCATCATCTGCAGCAACCACTAATATCACAATGTCAGTCACATTAGCACCACGGGCTCTCATCGCTGAAAAGGCAGCATGGCCTGGGGTATCTAGAAAGGTTATCTTTTCACCAGATGGCAAGTGCACTGCGTAATCAAGTAAAACATTTCAGTTGGGAAATGCAAACAACAGCAAAATCGAAAAAATGGTTTGTTATCAGAAAGGGACTGACACTACTGTAGTAAGGAAGTGGATACTATAGAAATTAGAAGATCGAACATTCATGCTTTAGTTAAATTGCAGAATAAGTCTGCCACCTTTCAGAGAGTTTTATTTGTACAAAGAGGCTAAATATTTTTGGTATGCTTCATATTCTTTTAGTGCACAATCCCTTAAGAAATGTTGGTTAAAATTTACTGACGTACAGACGCAAAAAAAGCTGGACAAATCCATCCAATTACTGCCTCATCAGTCTACTCTTGATTATCAGCAAAGTGCTGAAAGGGGTCATTGACAGTGATATCAATCTGCGCTTAGTTAGCAATAATCTACTCACTGATAATCATTTTGGGTTCCGTCAGTGCCACTCAGCTCCTGACCCCATTACAGCCAAATCAGATGACAAATCTTCACTGGCTGGAATCATATTTAGCTCATAGGAAGACATTTGTGGTTGTTAAATGTGAATCATCCCAAACCTTTAACTATTCTGTCAATAATCAAGTATATTCTGTACACAAAAACATGACAATTCCAACCTGAGTGATTACCTCTCCATCAGTCTAGTGTCAATCATCAGTAAAATAATGCTCAGGATCATCAACAGTGCTATCAAGCACCACTCACTTAACAATAAATTGCTCATCAAAGCTCAGTTTGGGTTTGACCAGGATACTAAGCTCCTGAACTCCTTACAGCTATGGTCCAAACTTGGACAAAGGAGTTGAATTCATGAGGTGAGGTGACAGCCACTGTCCTTGTCGTCAAGGTCATATGGATGCACAATATTCAGCACCATTCACGACTCCTCAGATGTAGTAGTCCATGCTCAAATACAGCAAGACCTGTACAATATCCAGGCTTGGGAATGACAAGTGCATGCAAGGCAATGACTATTTACAACAAAAGAGAATCTAACGATCACCCCTTGACATTCAACGACATTACTATCACTGAATCCCCCACTATCAACGTCCTGTGGGTTACCAATGAGCAGAAACTGAATTGGGCTAGTTATACAAATACTGTGGCTGCAAGAGCAGGTCAGAAGCTAGGAGCCTTGTAGTGAATAACTCACCTCCCAACTCCAAAGTCTTTCACAACAGAAACAGAAGTTGCTGGAAAAGCTCAGCAGGTCTGGCAGCATCTGTGAAGAAAAATCAGAGTTGTTCTGAGGAAGGGTCACCGGACCTGAAACGTTAACTCTGATTTTTTCTTCACAGATGCTGCCAGATCTGCTGAGCTTTTCCAGCAACTTCTGATTTTGTTCCTGATTCACAGCATTCACAGTTCTTTCGGTTTCCAAATTCTTTCCACCATCTACAAGGCACAAATCAGGAGTGATGAAATGCTCCCTATTGACTGGATGAGTATAACTCCAATCAACACTCAAGAAGCTTGACACTATCCAGGACAAAGCCACCTGCTAATTGCCCCCAGTCTACAAATATTTTGTCTCTTCACCAATGACACCCAGTAGCTATAGCATGTACTGCAGAAATTCACTAAGGCTCCCTTAACAGCACCTTCAAAACCCAGAACCACTACCATCTAGAATGAAAAGGGCAGCTGATACATGGGAACACTATCTGCAAGTTCCCCTCCAAACTACTCACTATCCAGACTTGGAAATATATCTGCCCTTTCAATGTCACCAGGTCAATATCCTGGAACTATCTTCCTAATAGCATTGTGGGTATGCCTATATACAATAGGCTGCCGGTGTTCAAGAAGATAGCTCACCACCTTGCTTGATTTTGACCCCATCCACGAACTGAAACACTCTCACATTCTAGCACTGTTGCATAGTAATAGCAGTGTGCACCACCTACAAGATGCAATGCAATGCTTCTTTAACAGCACCTTCCAAACTTTTGAGCTCTACCACTACTTAGAAGAACAAGAGCATCAGTTGTGAGAGAATACAAGCTCTTGCAAGTACCTCTCCTTGCCACACACCATTGTGATTTGGAACTATATCCATTCACTGGATTGACATCCTGGAATTCCCTTCCTAACAGCACTGTAGTGTACCTACACCACATCAAATGCAGCAGTTCAAGCAGGTGGCCTTCCAATTAGAGATGGGCAATATATGCTGGCCTATCCGGTGACACTTTTATGTCAGGAAAGAAGAAATAAAATCATTCTATAGAAACCACGGACTGATAGTTCTTTCTAAATAGAAGGGTGCATGTCCGTAAGTAATTACTTGCTTACAAAATTATGGCCTGGAGTTTGATTTGTGAGAATGTAATTTAGCTCGTTGCTCAAACTACACAAACAAGAAAAACTGCCTTTCTTCTGTTAAACAGAATTTCATTCTTCATTATGGAATCTCACTGGGACCATTTGTAATGTAACAACAACTTACTTTTATCAATACCTTTGATACAGTGGAATGTTTTTAGGGGTTTCACAGTGGTGTTAAAAAACTAAAACAGACACCAAATCACTAAAGGCATATTAAGGCAGATAAATTGGTTTTAAGAAAACACTAGGATAAAGAGAGGGACAGAGACTTAAGTTGAAGGAATTCCATTGTTAGGGGCTTGACAGCTGGAAGGATGGCCACAAATGGTGGAAATGTTAAAATCAGCGATGCTCAAGCCAAAATTGGAAGGGAATAGATATCTTGGAGGGGGTTTAAGAGATAGGAGGTAGCAAGATGGAAGGATTCACAAACATCGTTGACAATTTTAACATTGGGGCATTGTTTAACCTGAAGCCAATTAGATAAACAGGTGCAGGAGTAATGGGTGAAAGGCCTTTTGTGTAAATCAGGAATATGGGCAGAATTTTGGATGAGCTTAAGTTAATGGAAATGGGAACTCAGCCAGGACTGCATTGGAATAGTCCAGAGGCAACAAGGCATGAACGTGAATTTTAGCAACAGATAAGCTGAGGCAAGGATGGAAATGGGCAATGTTACAGAGAAGGAAATAGATGGCCTTCGTGAAGGCACAGATTTATGGTTCGAAGCTCATTATTGAGTTAAATACAACAAACATGGATTGCAAATAAAAAGTATCGAGTTGCCAGGAAGAAAGTGGAGTTAACAGCTAGGGAACAGAGTACCTGGGGGTAGAATGGCTGGGAGGAAATACCTGTTCATCCAGTGACAGATGATGGACAAACAATTTTTACAACTTAGAAACAACACGGGGGTCAAGAAACATGGTGATCCAATAGAGTTGGATGTTGTCAACATACTTGTGGAACTGGACATGTTTTCAGATGATGTTAAAATTAAAGAATGAATTGAGGCCCTTTGACCCATCTTACTGCGGGACAGCATGTAAATGTAAAATAGTAGGGAGCCAAGGATAGGTCTATGGGGAAGCCAGAGGTAACTGTATGGGAACAGAAAGAAAAGTGCTGTGAGCAATTTTCTCGCTGCAACCAAATAGATAAAATTGGAACCAGGCAAGCACAAGTTCACTTATCTGGATGTCAAAGGAGAAGGTGTTATGGTCAATTGTGTGCAAGGTTGATGACAGGTTGAGGAGGATGGGAAATAATTTACCACAGTTACAAAGGATGTCACTTGTAACGTTAATTGGGCCATTTCAGTATTGTGGCCTATTGAGAAACTAGAGAAAGATGCATGTTCAGGGCAAGGGCAGAGGAAACTTGAGAATAAGTTTGGCCTGGTGTTTTCATGGAACAAGGGAAAGCTACAGAGGCAGAAGAACAGATCATCTCAACTTCATAACAAAAATGCTCATGAGCTGCCCACACTTGCTATTGGAGGCACAGGTGGAGGAGACTGGGCCTTTGGAATGTGTTTTGTAGTTGAGAAAGGATTTGGGGCTTATATTTGCAATTCAAATTGAATCTGGAATTTTGATCTGTCTTGAAAGGTGTGACTGAATCCATCTCACCAATGTTATCATTCTCTCTCTATTAGATTTCTGACTTTAGCTCTGTATGCTGTACTCCTTCCGATTATCTCCTACCTATTTCCTCTTAACTTTCAAATTTTTAAATACCCTAATTTTGCTCCAACTCAGCTCAACATTTCCAGAGTCCTTTTGCATATACATTTTGACTGCTCACCAGACCTGAGTCCGTTACTGTCTTTCCACACTTTTTCTTTTGGATTATTACGTTTCTCTTTACCCCTCCTACACACTCTCTTCTATCAACATTCCTCCATTTAAATTCTCTCCTGTCAGATGCTCTGCTCTTCCAATTCCCTATCCAGTTCTTTGGTACTGCTCAACATTCCAGCTCTCTTGCTGCAAGCCAGGCTTCACTCCCTCTCAGATAAGATCTGTTTCCTGAGTCTATGTTCTCTTATCCTCCTGTAATCTCTCCTTGCATACCTTAACTAAACTTATGGTCACCCCTTTGATCCTGCAATTGCACTATGCTGATTTTATCAAACACAGAAGAGGACATCTCTGATCACTTTCTTGCATCACTCTCCTGCCACACCTTGACAATACCTCCTTCTGTACTGTACGTGTCTATGAAGAAAGGAAAGCTCCCAACTCAATTACAATGGCACTTTCAAAATCGCAATCATCCAGCCTTCGGCCCTCTGTTCAGCTCAACATTTATGTAGCTCATGATTTATTCAACATCACGTCCACATTGGTTGTCCTAGTTCCTAGTAAAAATCAGCATTTTCTCTCACGCTTGCCTCATCTCGCATTTCCTTAAGTCTGAAAGATCAGACTTGAAAGGGTCTGGCAGACACCCGACTTATCCATTCAATGCCAAGCTAGGCCCATGAAAAGCACTGTTGGGTCCTGTTTGCGTCTGCCAAAACCATCTCATCCATTATTGTCAACAACACCTGGATTTAGGGTCGCATGTGATGGAACTACGCAAATTTTGACCTGCAGATATTTGGGCATATGGATAATGGATTCCAGAGTGCAGGATTTATTTTCTTTTCTTTCCCTCTCTGCTGTGGCTC